TGTGTGTGTGTGTGTGTGTGTGTGTGTGTGTGTGTGTGTGTGTGTGTAGGGGGGTAAAACTTCTTGCTTAAGATGGACCTTCAGTTGGTTGCAAAACTCAAACACAAAGTCAAGTCCCTGGCTTTTAACTGTAAAAGCCCATGCTGTGTCTCCTCTATAAGCAAGCAGAATCCAAGAGCCAGGGAAAATGAAACTGCATAAAATACAGCCACATTCATAATAATAGTCGTTTTGTGCTGCTTCTAAACAAACTCTCCCTGAAAAGTAAAAAGACAGAGAAAGAACAACATGGAGAAATACATCTCTGGGAAAAAGAAAAACACCCAAAGAATATTCCCTTTGAAATGAAAACCCAGTGGACTGGTATTCCTCACTCTTAGCATCTGTAGTCACTGCAGATTGAAATTCCAAGGATCATGGTGAAAAATGAATTTAAAAAAAAAAAAAAAACAAGAAGAAACCTGAGTTCTGTTTTTAAAGCCATCTTTCACAAACACCCCCACAGCTTTCTCACATGGCATCAGAGGGGGAAAAAAAATGTATGTGTGTTGCTGTATGTGTAAGTCATCATTTCTGAAATAGCAGTTTAAAATAGCTAAGTGATGTAACATCAAACCACAAAAGATCATGTCATGAATTCTGAGCCCTTCGGGAAGCATGTGTGATCAGTTAAGTCTTTTCAAGGCCTTTCCTGAGACTTGAAGCGGTTACTCTAGGGATAGCCATTTATAACTGGACAACTCCAAATTTGTGGACTCTAACAAGCACTGCAGAAGGTTCCCTTGATCCGGGCCTTCAGTCCTTATTTCTATACACACATCCCAGCATCTCAAGCACTTTCCAGTCAGTTCCCCTACGAGGTACCCAGGGCAGGCTGGGGAGATGGCTCATTAGCTGGGAGCTGGCTGCTCCCAGCACCTTCATGGTAGCTCACAACTATCTGCAACTCCTGTTCCAGGGTATCCATGGCACTAGGCATGAACCTGGTACATATATACATATACGTGAATGCAGGCAAAATACTCATACATACAAAATAAAATAAATAGATCTTAAAATTAAAAAAAGTACCAGGACAATTATGATTCCCTTCGTTGCAGGGACTGCTTCTCCCAAGCGGAGTAAGTGGCACCAGGCTGGCCTGCGTACAGGTCAGGACTGAAGGCAGCCAGCCTCATCTCTATCTAAAAGCCTGCAGGCTGCATCTCAGGGAGCGTGGAGTCTCTGAAGAGCACCACACAGTGTCTAAGAAAGGTGCCTGTCCCCTCAGCATATCACGGTTTTGTCCATAAGGCAATTCTTCCTGAATGAGGTCAACTCGGGTCACTACTGAAAAATAAAATAAAATAAAATAAAATAAAATAAAATAAAATAAAATAA